TCACACACACAACGTGACTATGTAGGCCTACGTGCTACTCCACCACACACAAACAGTACCACAGCTGAGGTTGAAACTGAAAGTAAAATGATCTTATTTTAGCCTGTGTGGGCAAACATGTAGGCAGGGCTTTATTCTGGGGTTTCAAAGGAGAATTAAACCTTCTGCTGCTCAGATCTTGAAAAATGTTTTGTAGTTTAATGTGATGTAATGTGCAGAAATGTATTATTCTCTGGAGGTCAGAGGTCACTGTCAGCTACAGATCAGACACTCTGCAGTTTGTGTGGATGCAGCAGTGTCTTATATGTTATTTAAACACTTTTGTGTGCAATCACACCATAAATGAGATGGAGGAGAACATATTTTATCCTCATCAGAGTCCATATATAATAAGGTATTTTATTGATGTGTTAGTATGTTTCAGTTCAGGTCTACTCACTGGTCTTGGCACAAACTAGAGGACTACTATCAGAACACACAATAGGTTATGTAAAGGTTGAGGTGCAAGTCAAACTAATTTCCAAGTAATAGTTTACCATTATGTTCAAATTATTACATTTAAAAGTTAATCTGTTGTTAAAACAAAAGGATGACATATAATGTCCCCTTATCTGAAGATGCAGTGTGACACTTGATCACATTTGAGCTGATCTTAAGTTGAACTTCAGTGTTAAGTGAGCCACGTGTTCAGTTTTGAATGAATGGATAGAGGTCATGAGCTATCAGCTGAGAGATCTGATGGGCAGAGAAAACTACCTCTTGTATTTTTTNNNAATAGGAAGACAAGAGCTGAGTGTGTGACACTTTTCTTCATCACTATTTGGACACATGCACTAAGTGACAACTGTGTGTTTATATTATTTTGATGTAGTTGTTTTCACCACCTTTGTTGAATTGAAATATAAGGACACAGAACTATCTGCAAATATGATCACACTAGAGCTCCATCTACTACACTATAAACTTACTCAGATTACATTGAAATAAATTAAACAACCCTAATCATCACCAGTTCAAGATAGAATGTGATTCATTCTAGTAACATACATAATAATCACCCCTTCATCCTTCCTCCATCATCATCTCATTTAATACACTCACTTAAATTCTGAAGGTGTGAAAACTTCTGACAACAGATTTTCTTCAGCAAATTCATTTCTGGTTCAGTTTTCAAGCTTATGTTGCTCTCTAGTGGAAGGTTACAGAAACACACATCTGGTTGGTGTGTAATATACATGATTTTAATTCAGGCCTTCTTAGCCTGTAGCTTAACCTGTAGCGTGGCAGCTGACTGGAGAGGAGGGAGTCTTCTGGAGGAGAGACACTGAGGGAAGGTCTGGAGAGAGAGAGAGAGAGAGAGAGAGAGAGTCCAAATATACAATTTAATATAATATATATATTTTATAAATATAAATATATAATATTTCAGAAATGTACTTAAAACCTTCTTCTTATGTCTTGTTATTCTTACTGTTTTTGTCATGTTCCTCATTAGGTAGGTCATGTGTGATATGCAGCGGTTCTGATGTTAGGAAGGCGTGCAGTCATGCAAAAAATAAATAATAATCGATAATTCCCCTTAAATGTGTTAAAACTAAAGTAAAAACTGTTTTGAAATTTTAAGCCATATGAAGTACAGATCTTTGGTTCAAAAGGTGTAAAATTGTCAGAAAAGTAAATACTCAAGTAAAGTGCAGATACATGAAAAAACTACTTAAGTACATTGACAAAGTATTTGTATTTCATTACTTTGCACCACTGGATATTGGTCATATTACAATGTTTGAGCACTAAAAATATAAATTACCTCCAGTTTGGTATAACTGCATCAAACTCTCAATAGTGGAACTGAAGAAGTTGATTAACACGACACTCGTCAGTGTACCAGTCCCTGTGTTCTGGATCATCTTCCATTAGTCTCTTCATCCAGTCCTGTTTGGGTTCAGCTCTCTTGATGTTGCTGTCGTAGTGAACAACCTCAACTCCATCAACCATCACAGCACCAATGAACTCTGGGAAGTTTGGCACTCCAGAAGATCCAGTGAAGAAAAACTTCAGGGAGTGTTTCTCTGTAGGAAAAATACATTTTCAGTTTTCGAAATACACTTTTTATATTCTTTTTGTATGATTATCTAAAAGGAAGAATACACATTCATTTATAAGTTTGGTCATATTTATTCAAGACTCATCATTTGGAGTTTGAACCAATTATTTACTCAAAGTAAATGAGTAAATATATTATTTACTTTGAATTGGGTGCTCATTTATTTGAAAGTGTGAAAACTGTAGCAGCAAACTTATTTTCTTCCTCTGCACTTTCTCTTTTGCGTGCAGATTGATTGATTGTGAAAAGGACAGTTTCCTGTGACCTGCGGTGAACAGTTTTCTGTTCCCACGCACCCGAACACATCAGCAGTGAATAGTGCTTTTACTGAACTGATTTCACTTACTGTAAACTGCAGTTCCCATGCACCCAAAGTGATGCAGACAAAACCAAACTGCATATAAGTAAATTTATATGATCTATATAAAAGAGAAATATATATAAATTTATATATAAATATAAAACAATATGCAACAATAGGAAACATTATATTACATGATACAGGCTACTGTATATTTATTTAATATACTGTGAAACAAACATTTTTTAATTTTTTTATAAACATTTACATGATTGAGCATTAAATGTAAAATGCACCGATTACATTTATACAATCCTAAAGTTGTCAAAGTCATCATTTGAAATTTATAAATTAAATCAACACATCATTTTTACAGGAAATTAATTAATGAAAAAAAGTATAATCTTACCTGGAGATGCAACATGACAGAAAATGAGAAATATAAATAATTTCTTCATCTTGTTTTGATAAAGAAGAGAGCTGACCTACAGATGAACTTCAGACCTGAGTTCAGAGCTGTTCAGTGGTGACAGAAGTGAGACATGAAAGGTTACAGACAGTTCATCAGTGATAACAGACACACAGTAGGAAGCATCCTAACCACCGAGGCAGGACAATCAGAGGGTAGGTGTCCCCTGAAGCTGAAGGAATCTACTGACTTTAAAGGGAAGGTAAGTCTGTTTAATCAGGATGTATTTTTATTTGTATTTCAAACTTTAATCTGGCAAAAATTCATATGTATGTGTTTGTATTTGTTGTTTTCACAATATGAAACACAGAATGTGCAGACTCCCCTCTATAGGTAGGCCACTTGGTTCATTCCACGCACCCAACAACAGGAGCCTGCCTCCAACTGACAATGTGAAAAGATTTATTTACCAATGATAGCATACAAATTATAAAAAAGTATTTCCTTACTTTATGGCTCAACTGCATATTTGTAGTTAGACTGCTGTCTAACTAATGCGATTTACAACTTTTCTTCGCAGTCAGTAGTCCTTATGTTGGAAATGGTACTGTAGTGTGGGAGGAAAGCGTGGGTGCACTCTTTATTTCATTTGTAAGTAAAGAAATACTTTGACACATGTGGTTGTAGATTGGTAGAAAAACATCTGGACAAAACACAGAAACAGAACAGTCAAGCTTCACTTTAGAAAATACAGAGAAATCAGCTTTTACTCCTGATTAAAAACTTTCAGATTAAAAACATTTTATGAGCATAAAAAGATTTCTCTCAATAAACTCGTAATATGTAATAAATATTGTATATTATGGCAGTCATACTGCAGACAAATACTACAACATTTCCTGTTTCAGGGGTGCACCTGCAGTTCATTGGTTCAAAAGCCACAAAAACGTGACTTCTTCAGTTAGGAAATGTGAGGGGAAAGAGATACAACTTAAGGTTTCTGTTACACTCTGTCATTTTAAAACTTTCTAATGAAACAATAGCGTAAAAAATGTAAAAAATAATGAATTTTTGAGTTTTTTTGAAACACAGCCAGCATTTGGTTTTACATATTTGTAGTATGTGTTGTATAGTTTTATATGCTTTATGTTTAAGTCTTTGTTTAGTCTTCCACTTTGGGGAAGTTCAAGTTGACATTGTGGCTTTAGAAACACCAATTTCTAAGAAGTTCTTCCTTGGTTTCCTTGCAATTTCTCAGATAGATGCCACTGAATCCAACACACTAGTCCTATCTGGAATTGCCACGATAAACATAATTTAACCATTGACACTTATTCACATGAAATCCTGAATGATTAGTAAAGTTGCTGGTTTAAGCAGTTTACAATGAACACAGTTATACCATCACTGCATTTTACAGACATCTAGATAACCAGGAAGAGTAGGCAGAATTCACCTGATGTTCTCCGAGGCTTTTCGGTGCCAAACTGAATGCAACAGAAGAGGAGAGTCGCCGTTTACGTTTTAAATGACTGTTTTGTCAGGTTTAGGGACAAAGGCCATCTTTAAACCTGGAATTTTAATTTGTTCTTTTCCAGTAGAGACAGGAAGTTAAAAAACAACAAAATGTTTTTAATGTTATTACTGATAATCACATCTTACACAACATTTGGCTGGAACTTGTTATTATTTCCAACATCTGCTATTTGTTGCTCATTAGAATGTTGCTTTTTAATTGAAAGTTGGATATCAACCATTCATATAGCACATTATTTTCATTACTAGATTCACATTTTCGACTGAATGTGCTTCTTTTTGTGAGAAACAATGTAATAACATAGTCAGATAACAACCCTGCTTGAACAGATGGAAAAAATGACCAGCTGAAGATTAGAATAAAATGTTGTGTTTAGACTTTAGTAACTTGTTTCTCTTGACAAAGAGGACTCATTGAGTGCACAGCTGTTGTTGCCCTCTAGTGGAAAGTTACTGAAACACAAAATTAAGTGACCACCTTTTGATAAGTACATAAGTGTTGCCTTTTTTAACCTCCAACAGTGTGTGAGCTCCTTTAGTCCTCATGTGCGAAGTTAAAAAATTAAAAACTCAATGACATTGCTGACATGCTTATGTTTAATGAATGTATGATGTTTACCGTGCTTATTAGCAATCAACACAAAGTACAGGTTAAAGGTTTATGTGAATCACATTACATATACATAAACCAAAGATCTGGGCAGAATTAAAGTTGGTTAGTTAGTAGAATTTGACAGATATTTAGTTATTTCAATTTAAAGCTTCACTATTGTGCGTGTCTAAATATTGAAATATGTGATTGTTTGTGATTAAATCAGCGTATTTTTCTGACACCCCTTAAAGTATTTCTCTATATCTGTCTGAACTCTCTTTCACATCCCACACATTTAGGCTATTCTATGTGATTTCATTTTAATAACTAATGTAATGACTAATTTAATACTTTTTCATTTCCACTCTCAGAGCGTCACTTGAAAATGTTTGGACCCCCCCTGCACCTCTGCACTAGATGAAAACATATTTATTATTAAAGGTATTACTTGTAAAGTTATTACAAATCCTCCTGAGGGGAACATGTTGTTGAGATCGTCTCCAAAGCCACAAACATGAACGTCTTGGTGGCACTTCACCAATGTTATTAGGATTCAGTCTGGGAACGATGAACCATATAATACTGCAGTACTGTAACACTTTTAATCATTTCAGTTTGGATCAACATTGCCATCCTTAAAGCCACAATACTAGCCTGGTAAAAAGCTGAGAAAAAATATGTGCACAATAAAAGTAGTAATTAAATGATTATCCAATACTGTTAGTCCTTTGTAGATGGACATCAGACAAAGTGAGCTTTGGGCCATTTCCATGTTAGCAGGTTGGAACCCTGAAATATGAAATATAAGAGAATTATTATCACCATTTTAAAATGTATAAAAGGCAAATGGTAAGACAACACATTCTAGAGCAACATATAATTTCAAATAAACTAAATATGCATATCTATCAGTTCTGATTACAGTCTTACCATAGTTGGTTTTGATCACTGCTTTGTCCCGTCTGTGACGATGGAGTCCGACACAGACGCCTGTCCTTCAGGTGGGACTGAAAAGTTCAGGAGAGGTCTGTCACAAATTTGACCAAATTGACAAAAACTTAGTTTAACTTAGTTTAGTTTTTGTCAATTTGGTCAAATTTGTCAACTACAAGCTGACAAACCGTATTATTAAATATTAATATATAATATTAAAACAAACCTACAACATGCAACTAAAATGCATGTGCAGCATATTAGGTGAAATAAACTAAATGGGTTTTCCCACCTCTATCACTTCTGATCCCAGTCTTACCCCAGTTGGTCCTGATCTCTGCTTTGTCCAGTTTGGTGACGATGTCGT